CCTCGCTGCAGTTCAGGGGCATATATAAATCTCTCTCTCTCTCTCTCTCTCTCTCTCTCTCTCTCTCTCTCTCTCTCTTTCTTTGCATTAGGCAAGAATTAGAATTTCAAATGAGAGTTTTGAGCAACGTAGAGAACAATATAACATCTGCACAGGAAGCGTGCAGCAAAATCTGCTTACAATATGTACATGAGCATTGGTTATATTCTATAGGTGATAGATGGAGAGAGAGAGAGGTTGGTACCAGTGGAATATTTGGGATTTAAAGGGAGGTTCCTCAGGCACAGGAGCGCAGTGTTTGGGGATATATGTTTAATGCTTGCTTGCACGTACAGCCAGGGTTGTGTACTTAAGTGTGGTGTGTTCAAAACAGATGGTGAAATGACCGGTAGAGTAGGACCATGCTTGTGGAGGCACCTTCACAGTGGTGGGTGGCTTCCAAATCTGTTTGCTATTGTATGCAACTGAGACTTTTGCTCTTGTGGTTGATAAGTGGTTCTTAAAAGCGCTCCTTATTGCAGGCTGGCAGCAGTAGAAACTGGGAATCGGATACCAGATTGCATTGAGTCTCAAATTCCAGGGTCTCAAAATTAAGAAGGGATGTTTGCTTCTATCTAAAGCAGGGATATTGTGTTCTATGGACCCAGCTGAGTGGGATGCTGCACAGCATTGCTTGACTTTTTAATCCGCTAGAGTCTAATTTACCGAAACACTGCAGACCCAGGGGTAAAACCTGATCAGATTAAGGCAGAGCGGTCTAATCTTGTCTATTAATCTGTGCTGTTAACCACCCCGTGTAATTCTATCTCCCACTCTCAGCGAAGTTCACTGAAGTCCCCAAAGATGTGACAGTGAGGGAGGGAGAGGATATAGAGATGCCTTGTGCTTTTCGGGCCAGTGGATCCACGTCCTTTTCTTTGGAGATCCAGTGGTGGTACATCAGAGAGGCGACCAGGGAGACAACATTGGAACTAGCTATGACCGCCCCAGGGAGCAGAAGCAAGGTAATGACTACTGTGTCCATGCAACGTTATGCTATGTACAGTGAGATGCTTGATTGACAGGCGCCCCTGCATTCTACCCGCTGCTCACGGCCACTGTCTTGCGCAGCCAATAGGAAATGAGTTTAAACTTAGCAATGAGTCACCAGCAGACATCAGGACACAATCAAAAGATTTTGGTCCTCATGGATCGGAGGGAGGGGGGGTTGCATTAAATCTCCCCTGTAAAATTGAGGCTCTAAAGAGGCCGTGCAAAGAGCAGTGGTGATGTGCCAAAGACAATAAACGGCAAGCCAATAGGAATTCAGCTTTCGCCAGTTAGGGCCACAAAGCTGATTGTTGATTGGCTGCGATGGACTTTCCCAATTTGGATATTGCCTTGTAACAGACAACAAAAATACAAACAAACATCTTTTTGTCCTTCTGGATTGGGGTTGTATTAAACCTGCCCTGTAAATTGGGGCACCTATGAGACCATGCAAAAGCCAATGGTGGCTTACCAAGGACAGTAATCCCAGATCAGCCAATAGGACTTCAGGGTTCTGCCAACCGGAACACAAAGCTAATTGCTGATTGGCTGCTATGGGCTATACCACTTTAAATATTACTTTGTAACAGTAATCTGAACATTTTAGCCCCCCTATAATGGAGACAGGGGGTTGTATTAATTATTAATTTATATTATTATTATTAAACCTCCCCTTTAGACCATGCAAAGAGCAGCAATGATGTAGTAAAGACTGTAATCCCAGAGCAGCCAATAGGATTTCAGCGTTTACCAGTTAGGGCCATGAAGATAATAGTTGATTGGCTGCTATGGGCAATTTGGGATCTTGTTTTACATTATTTAAATATATTTGTGTCCAAAAACCAATAGAATGCAATATCCATCAGCAACCAATCAGATTTGGGTAAGCAGGAATGTTAATGTAATAACATTAAGCAGGAATGTAATGTGCAGAGTGGGTCAGGGCAACCAATCAGCAACTTGAGTCGCTGAGAAGCTAATTGTGATTTGTCAGTTGGGGTTTCCGCACGCTACATGTTATTCTCAAATTACATAAGATCAATTATTGAGCCCATATTATTTCTTCTTCATTCTCGCCCCATTCACCCCCCCCCTTCCTTTCCTAAAATATAAATCAGAAATTCTTCCCCTGCACTTCTCAGGCCAGCGTCCCAGTTTTGCAATTAGTTATTTAAATAGAAGTAAATAGATATTGACAAGCAGGATTACTGAGCTCAATGGATGCCAGGCAGGGCAGCCGCATAAGCACGACTGCTCTCCT